ACAGAAAACATATACTGAAAAGGCAGTAGATAAAGTTAGAGAAGTAGACCAATGTCTATATATAATGTTTAACTATTATCTTGTCAATAAAAGTAGCCAAGAAGTGTAAATAACACTAGTGGTAGAGCGAAAAATGCAACAGAGGGACTGAAGACTTGAGATCGAGTCAGAGAAATTGGGCGGATGTTGTAATTGGATGACAGATGATTAGGCTTGAATTAAAACAGTGTTTAAGTAATAAAGAAGCAGATTAAAAATAAATAAAATTGACAAGACTAGTGATTAATGTAGGATGATCTTAAAGTCAAATTTCAACAGATTGAAGAGTGAATAAAGCTGAATGGGTCACTGAGGGTTATCTTCTGCTAAAGAACATTCACATCCTACCCCTAGGTAGGATGAATATGGCTTTCCTGGTTGCTCAGAAAAGCCTTAAATTCTATCACCTCTCAATTTTTCAAAGCTTCCTATGGTCTTTTTTTATTCATTCGGTTTTGTACTATTTTATTTCCTGTATTTCATAATTCTAATCTTGATAGTCCTTGGGGGATGTGTGTGTGTGTGTATGTGTATATATATATATTTTTTAAGGTTTTCCTGGTGGCTCAGACAGTAAAGAGTCTGCCTGCAATGTAGGAGACCTGGGTTTGATCCCTGGGTCAGGAAGGTCTACTAGAGAAGGGAAAATGGCAACCCACTCCACTACTTTTGCCTGAAGAATCCCATGGACAGAGGAGCCTGACAGGCTACAGTCCATGGGATCACAAAGAGTCAGACATTACTGAGTGACTAACAGTTTCATAGATGTAAAAAATACAATTTGGAAAAACTCTGTGTATGAATGATTTATCAGATTATACAAAGATGAAGGGAATTATACTGACCTGAAAAATAGATTTTGAGATTTTTACCCAAAATGCAGAAAAAGAAAGAAATGAAAAAAGAAAGTGATATTAAGAGATGTGGAGGTAGAATAAGAAAGTTTAATTTGCAAATCATCAGAAATGAAAAAGGAAAATAAACACAGAGTAAGTGAAATGAAATATATAAAAGATAATGTTTGTGAATTTTTAAAAGCTGATTGAAAATAAAAATATAGTAATATGAAAATCACAGTGTACCTCAAGTAGGATAAATAAAAAGAAACCCAGGCTAGACAAGTGGTAAAGCCAAAAATAAAGAGGTAAAAGCACCCAGAAAGAAGATACTGATCATTTACAGAAAGGGAAAATTAGAATGACAGCAACAAAGAAAGCTAGAAGAAAAGGACATAATACTTTCAATGTTTGAAGAAAAAAGTCTCAATAATTGTATATACAACAAAAATATTTTCAAAACTATTAGGGGGTGTGATGGTGCAGTGCCATCTTAACAGTGCCAACTTAACTCCAGTGCCAACCTTTGCTTCCCAGTTCAAAGGGAACAATTTTAAAAGCACACATTATAAGCCACTGTGCCAGAGGTAATAAACATCATCAGCAAAGAATTTTAATTACTTACTTTTGATCTGTCTAGTGACTCCCTGGAAGAATAGATTTTAAAGATTCATTTACCCTAAGTTGGAACTGGCCTAGTGTGAAAAGAAAGCTGCTTTACTGAGGGCATTTGCTGAAGGCATTTATAGGCCAGTATCTTAGGTTGCCATTGCCTGAGGTGATGGAGAACAGTTGAGGCCAGTGGTAGACAAACCGAAAAGCTTGGGAGGAACAGCAGGGGAGTGAAATGTACACAACACTTTGAAAAGCTCCGACATATTTCTGAAATTCTAAAGGGCCCTGCACATGCTTAGTTTTCATGTTCTGGAAAGATGAGAAGGTTTTAGACTCTCACCTGTAGATGCTGAGATTCTGTGGCAGCAGGAAGTAAATTCAGAGGTAGGGTTGAAACCTGCCTGGCTGAGTGTTCAAGGGCTGTCAACACATACACGCAGCTCCTTGAGAAAGTCTGGGAGATTTTTTTGGATTCAGGCATTTAAAGAATTCTTTTCTAATCATTAACTTCCACTAACATAATAAAAGCAGGGACTTCAATAACCATGCATGACGAGGAATACAGCCGTAACAAAATTAGCTTAGAAAAGTCAACTGAAGTTTCCTCAGAGGCCCAGATGTAGGACTGAGAAGGGGTACCCCCATCTTTACCTAGCCTACGTATTTCCTAAGCAGCCGTAGCACAGATCACAGATTGAGTGAAGGTGCTGCAAGAGGATGCTTAAAATGTGGAATCATGGGATCCAAACTTAGTGAAAAAGGAAATAAATTGAGCAGTGGATGAAGGACTAAGAGAAAACAGAGGGATCACAGAAGTGGAAGTTGGAAGTCTCTCTTTTTTTTTTTTTTTTTTCCTGGAACCAGGGAGAGAGAAGTGAAGGGAAGAGACAAAGGTTAGGATTCTTATCCGTGACTGTGGCACAGAGTAGATACTTTAAGCTTAAAAATTTAATATGTGAAGCTGATTATGGCCAATAGAGTGACTTCCTGAAGTGAGATAGAATTGAAGATTCTAAAAGAATCTTAGATTTAGGTATTTTTAATTCCCCTTTAAAAGAGTCAGATAAGTAGAGGCATGGAAATAAAACATCACACGTGCCTCTCAATGGCCCCACTCAGGCAGCTGCCTGTGACCTGCCTGGGCACAGGGAATGGAAAGCTGGGAAGTGCAAGTTCAGTTCAGTTTGCCATGGGGCTATTTGGAAAAACCCAGGAGAAGCCGCCCAAAGAGCTGGTCAATGAAGTCACTGAAGATAAAAAACAAATGAGTGTTGTTGACAGGCAGATGTGAGATATCCATAGAGAAGAAGAAAAAGTGAAACAGTCTATGAATGATGCGGCCAACAAGGGTCAGAAGGATATCTGCATGGTTCTGGCCAAGGAGATGATTCAGGTCAAGGAAGGCCATGAGCAAGCTCTGTACATCCAAAGTGCACATGAACTCCGTGCTCACGGGGATGAAGAACCAGCTGGCAGTTGTGTGAGTGGCTAGTTCTCTTGCAGAAGAGCACAGAGGTGATGAAGGCCATGCAGCATCTTGTGAAGATCTTAGAAATCCAGGCCATCAGTCAGGAGCTGTCCAAAGAGATGATGAAGGCTGGGATCATAGAAAAGATGTTAGAGGACACTTTTGAAAGCGCGGGCAATCAAGAAGAAATGCAAGAAGCAGCAGCAATAGAAATTGACAGAATTCTGTTTGACACCACCATAGGGGCCTTAGGCAAAGCACCTAGTAAGGTGACAGACGCCCTCCTGGAGCCTAAACCTCCAGGAGCCATGGCTGCACGAGAAGATGAGGAGGAATAAGAGGCCATGGAAGCCATTCAGTATTGTCTAGCCAACTCCGCAGCTGGGGTGGCCCAGCAGGGCCCCCAGGCTCTCCCCACAGCCCATGATTGAGCACACACTCCTTCAAGCCATTTCTGTGTCTCTTGCACTACCCCTCTGGGTGTGGCACTGTTTTTGGAGAAGGTTCTCTGCTAATCTCTCTTCACCCTCTGCAGAGGCTTTGGGATTCAGTGGGATTGTTCTTGAGAGGTAGTGTAATAAATTCATAATTTTTAGGAGTATAAACGGAAGTGTCTTTTTAGGGGATGAGGGCAAAGAAGTCTGTCTTCTTATGATGCACTTCTGAGAATAGTGTTGATTGCCTGAATGTTGAGGATTCTGTGTGTGTGTGTATGTATGTATGTTTGGTCTGTAAAACACTATATAAATGGATCTTAATAAATTTCTGCTTTAAAAAAATACACACACAAACACATCACACATTAGTTGATGTATAACTCCTCAGTGAAGAACTGGGAAGACAGACTTTCAGACAACCGATACAATTTCTCTGCTGTATCTGGGGCAGGAATCTCTCCTATCCCATCTCCTCCTCTGCTGCCATGCCTCTTGGCTTTGGTCATCCACTGTTTTGTTCCTAAAATGGTATAATACCTATTAACCAGCCAGACCCTGAGTCTCTCCTTTCCTGCTGTCTTCTGTTAATCTATTTAAATGTTGTAATCTGCACTAATTTGCACATATTAGGTTTCTTCCTGGCTTTCTTCAGCCTTCATGCACTAGATAAAGCCATTGAACGAAGACTCCAACCTCTTCTCTTTTGAAGATTATCTATAAAACATAGACCAATGAGGTCATCAAAAGTTAATAGTTGGGAAGTTTAGTCTTTAACTTCTTTTATTTTCCCAGCTTCCTCAGTGATTAAATTTAAGACTATCTGTATGATTGTTTGCCCTCCAACATTATTTACAGAAGTGTTTGAGCCATTTCCCCCAAGTATTGTGCTTTCTAGTTGATTTCCCCTTACTCTTGTGTTCTTTGAGTAACTTAGGTTGTTAACATGCATGCTGAAAACTAGACGATATTCCCATTGGAATGTGCCTGTGTTCGTCTTAAGCGAGGCCTCTGTCATATGGCCAAGAAGTTCCTGCTGTTCCTAGAGTGACAGTCAGTTTAACCCATATCTCACCATGGGATAACAAAGTTTATGTCAGAACAGACATAGATTTTTGTAAGATTTCTAATGAGAAACTATCTTGAATTCACTGCTCCTTGGAACTTATTTCAGGAAGGTTCCATCTTAGAATTAAGGATCTGAGCATGTAAGTGAGTTTTAGATGTAATTCAGTCCTAGTGTATATATTAATTAAAGTAAGAATCCAGTCTATAGATTTTCTAACATACGATCATCCAGGTTTTGTGTGAAAATGTACTTTCATGACACTGAATTCTATTGTTTTAATCATTTTAAAAGTGTCCAAAATCCTTGTTTTTCTTGCTTTTAATGCCTTTATTAAATTAACTGAATCATTTGTTCACAAGACACACTATATTTAAGAGGCATTGCTGTAACAGCTTAATAGCATATTTTGTAATTGTATGATTTAGACTTATCTAAAATTTATGCATAGTTAATATTTACAAAACTGAAATTTGATTACTGGAGAAAGTTGAGTTGCACAAAGTTATTAATATTAATCCCAAAGGTATTTTTCTTTTCAGATTGCTATGCCATGCTATGAAGGACCATATAGTTCGTGTTGCAAATGAAGCTGAGTTTATTTTGAACAGACAGAGAGCTGAGGATGTACATAAACATGCAGAGTTTGAGGTAAGGTTTTGGGAGTGAATTAAATTCTGCTTTTCTGTTACAAGTCAGTTGTCACCAATGGTAACCTTATGTAAGTTTTTTTTTCAAGATGAAAATTTCACTGAAGGCATTTCAGTTGTTTTTAAAGCTTTAGTAAATGTCAGACAGGGCACTTATTTCTTATTACCTCATTTGCAATTTGAAAAGACCACTCTAGCATTATGCCTAACCACTTGATAGACTGAGGTTGTTCTAACTTATTCTTAAAGTCACATACAGTTTTGCAGTGCAATTCCTTTAGTAATTTTTAGGCATAGTTTACACACCATTAGATATGGGTGTAATAGTGGTTATGTGAAGAAAGTTTTACTCTTCAGTAATTTATTATTTAATAATGTATTCATCTCTATTTAGAGTGGCCAAAGATCATTTTAGTTCATATTTTATTGCTATAATTTATACTTTATTAACAAATGAAGCAATCCTATCATATATGATGTATATGTAGATCTGTATGTATATATGGAAACATAATAGTTTAAAATCTTCATAAGCACAAATTATCATTTGCATAAAGAACAAATTATCATTTCTATTTTATATTCAAAAATTTAAGGTATTCAAGTAGTATATAGTACAAACTAATAGTTTTTAAAATAAATATTATTCTTATATATCTAGCATGTCAATAATTATTTGACATATTGCCCTGATTCAATAAACTTATTTTCAGAAATATTTAGGTGACCTGCTGTTTGACTTAGGTTGGCCTTGAAAATAATAACTAAGCCCACCAATTTATGCCCCTGATACAACATATGAACAGGTGTGGTGCAGCTGGAAGCCAGAACCCATGTTTCCAGTTTTGAGGTTTTTATCTCAGTAAGGCAGCTCTCTTAGTCATGCAGGTTGATGTGCTAGGTCTAGATATCTCTGATCTACCTCGCTGAAAAGAATAAGACAGAAATAACTGTTTCGTTATAATAACCATAATATCCACTTCATTTGTCAAATGAGACAGCACACACCTGTCATATGGGATTGTAGCAGCCTTATTTGAAAAAAACATATAAATTCTGATAAAAGTACATCAACAGTTAAGTGTTTGTCAGAATGAAGTTTTGTATCTTTCCAACCATAAATAACATCAAATCTTTATAAATCAGGTATCATACTGTAATCTGGATGATGAGAAGAGATTGAATTATCTGCTTTGAATAATATGTTTAGGTATAAGATATGTCAGAACTCTCGACAAAATAGCAATATTCAATTGACTTTTGACCTCTGTTAGTAATAAGATTTAGAATATTAACTGAATTCTCTGCAGAATCAGTTTTGAGTTGATCATATTTCTACTAAGAAAAGCAAGTTATTTTCTGGGGATATAAGCAGATCAATATATGACATGTGAAAGCATTTAAGATACATTTTCCAGCCACCAGATTTTAATTACAAGCTCTAACATATATTTAACCAAGGTGATATTAAGCTAAGGGTGGTGTTTCTCAACCTTTTACATTATTGTCCCCTCTAAGGCAAATTTTTAAATAGGTGTCACCCTAATCAGACCCTACCGTGATTTATTATAATTATCACCAATATGCTGTTTATTTGTTTATGTACTGTGTATGTGTGCTTTATACATTTAAAGAGTAAGATTGTTTTCACACACCCTTAATACCATTTTCACCATCTTGGCAATGAGATCTCTCTGATTGAGGACACACAGCTAAAGGAGGTATAGATGTTGTGAAGGGAATGTGAACAACTCAGTGTTTTTAGATTGTGTACACATAAAATAGAATACTGATGTAAACCAAATTTTGAGAGTATTATCATTGTTACTTAATGAACGTGCTTTTTTTTTTTTTAACCCAAATTTTCTATTTGTTCCTTTTAGGTTAAAGCTATATTAATAAAATGCATTGATGTGTGTGTATCTGTGTGCATGTGTGGTTTACCAAACATTTTCCACTTTTAAATTTTAAATTGTAAGAGATTTTATAAAAGCCATAACATTTTATACTAGGACTTTTCAAGGAATTTCTGTATCTCCCATATAAGCCTGTAATTAAGAGAAAAAGTATATTTAATTTGACATGGATACTTAACAGTTAAGTTTTCTTGGCTAACCACTGTAATTGTTAAGGAAGAAAAATGAAAATTTAATTTTACTCTCCAATGAGCTAATGAAATATTAACCTCATTATGGAGGCAGATCATTGTACTAATTGGTGATTCCCTGTACAAAAAGATAAATTGGAAAATGAATTAATCCTTCTTAGGTTACTGAAGGATTATTTCTCTGGAAGAGGTGACTTTGGTAGTCTGAATCAGGAGATAGTTGAAAGGATTATGCTCAGATACCTTCCATGAAGGATTTCTACTTTGTAATAATGAATGTGAACTCATTATGTATATATTTTAGATGTATGAAACTTTTTTTATAATTATATGACTCATATTAATACTTGATAATTTTAAAATTTGCAGTCACTCTACCCTATACATAAATCATTATACAAAAAAGACTTATGATTAAGGAGATATTTCATCTTCATGTTCATGTTTGTATTGAACCTTTTTGATACACAAGATTGCCTATGTTTCTAATACCAATGAACTTGAATGCAGATAGCTGACTGGACAACTGATTATTAGGTAGAGAAGATTAAGAGAGTAGTTATCATTCAAAGAGACTTTGAATACATTAAATTCGAGAGCTAAGATACTCTGTAGAGAAAATCTTGTGTTAGCCCTTTATTTTATGAATATAAAACTGAATACAGAGAAAAAAGAATTTACGTAAAGTGTGAAATTGAATGCAAGTCTAAATTCCTAAATTATCTTCTATACCACATTGCCATTTATGAGATGGAACACTATTAAATGGCATGGTTTTGATCTATATATAATTATCAAGAACATAACATTTTTAAGTCAGATATTTCATTCCAATCCCAAAGAAAGGCAATGCCAAAGAATGCTCAAACTACCACTCAGTTGCACTCATCTCACACACTAGTAAAGTGATGCTTAAAATTCTCCAAGCCAGGCTTCAGCAATACGTGAACCATGAACTTCCAGATGTTCATGCTGGTTTTAGAAAAGGCAGAGGAACCAGAGATCAAATTGCCAACATCCACTGGATCATTGAAAAAGCAAGAGAGTTCCAGAAAAACATCTATTTCTGCTTTATTGACTATGCCAAAGCCTTTGACTCTGTGGATCACAATAAACTGTGGAAAATTCTAAAAAAGATAGGAATACCAGACCACCTGACCTACCTCTTGAGAAACCTATATGCAGGTCAGGAAGCTACAGTTAGAACTGTACATGGAACATCAGACTGGTTCCAAATAGGAAAAGGAGTATGTCAAGGCTATATATTGTCACTCTGCTTATTTAACTTACATGCAGAGTACATCATGACAAACGCTGGGCTGGAGGAAGCACAAGCTGGAATCAAGATTGTTGAGAAATATCAATAACCTCAGATATGCAGATGATACCACCCTTATGGCAGAAAGTGAAGAGGAACTAAAGAGCCTCTTGATGAAAGTGAAAGAGGAGAGTGAAAAAGTTGGCTTAAAGCTCAACATTCAGAAAACTAAGATCATGGCATCCTGTCCCATCACTTCATGGGAAATAGATGGGGAAACAGTGGTAACAGTGGCAGACTTTATTTTTTTGGGCTCCCAAATCACTGCAGATGGTGATTGCAGCCTTGAAATTAAAAGACACTTACTCCTTGGAAGGAAAGTTATGACCAACCTAGACAGCATATTAAAAAGCAGAGACATTACTTTGCCAACAAAGGTCTGTCTAGTCAAGGCTATGGTTTTTCCAGTAGTCATATATGGATGTGAATGTTGAACTATAAAGAAAGCTGAGTGCCGAAGAATTGATGCTTTTGAACTGTAGTGTTGGAGAAGACTCTTGAGAGTCCTTTGGACTGCAAGGAGATCCAACCAGTCCATCCTAAAGGAGATCAGTCCTGGGTGTTCATCGGAAGGACTGATGCTGAAGCTGAAACTCCAATACTTTGGCCACCTGATGCGAAGAGCTGACTCATTTGAAAAGACCCTGATGCTGGGAAAGATTGAGGGCAGGAGGAGAAGGGGACAACAGAGGATAAGATAATTGGATGGCATCACCAACTCAGTGGGCATGGGTTTGGCTGGACTCTGGGAGTTGTTGATGGGCAGGGAGGCCTGGTGTGCTGCAGTTCATGGGGTCGCAGAGTCAGACACGACTGAGTGACTGAACTGAACTGATACTATATTAGGCTTCCCTGGTGGCTCAGATGGTAAAAACAATCTCCCTGCAATTCAGGAGACCTGGGTTCAATCCCTGGGTCGGGAATATCCCCTGGAGAAGGGAATGGCTACCCACTCCAGTAATCTTGCCTGGAGAGTTCCATGGATAAAAGAACCTGGTAGGCTACAGTCCATGGTGTGGCAAAGAGTTGGACACGACTGAACAACGAACACTTATATACTATATTAGGGGCTTCCCTGGTAGCTCAGCAGTAAAGAATTCCCCTGCCAATGCAGGAGACCTGGGTTCAATACCTCGGTCGGGACGATCTCCTGGAAAAGGAAGTGGCAAACCATTGCAGTGTTCTCGCTGGGAAATCCCATCTATAGAGCAGCCTGGCAGGCTACCGTCCCTGGGGTCACAAAACTTAAGGCACTACGTAGCAACTAAACAGCAACAGCAGCAGTATTGTATTGGTGAAATAAGGAGGTGTGCATTTTTTATAAACTCTTTTGTTTCTAAAATGCTCGCTTTTACAATATGTTAGAATCAGAATTTCAGAATTGGAAGGTAGATTAAAAGTCATAAATTATCTGATAATATTACTTAATGGGCTTCCCTTGTGACTCAGATGGTTACTTTCCATATACTTTATGTATAAACACATGGAAAGAACACAGTTTTACCAGTTTGAAAAGTGACCATATATATATGCATATATATATATATATATATATGTTAGAATAACTTTCAAAATATTATATTATCTGAGTTTTGAAAATTGAATTGGTAATAAATACCCTTTATCTCAAGGCTAGATATAATTTCTTTCTTATATAGATAGAGGTGTATTATCATGCACTGTTGGTATTTCTTTTAGTCACAGTGCGCCCAATATGCTGCTGATAGAAGAGAGGAAGAGAAGATGTGTGACCACCTCATAAGTGCCGCAAAGCATCGGGACCATGTGACTGCAAATCAGTTGAAACAGAAAATCCTGAACATTCTCACAAATAAGCATGGTGCATGGGGAGCAGTTTCTCATAGGTGAGTTGTAAAAAAAAATACTTGAAGTAAATAGTAACTCACAGGTTAATTTTAAAAGTTATAAGTAAGAAATAACTATTAATTTAAAAATTACTCATATACTATTAAAGTATTATAAATTGCTTGATTTTTTTCCTGAAATCTTTTTTAATTACTCTTTAGAATGGCTTTAAAAGAAAATCTAGACTTTTACAAGTAATCTAGTGGAAGTTATTTCTAATTTATAATTAATGTATAACAATACAAAATTTGTTTAGACAAGTATCTTAGGCTATCATTTCTCATATATAGCAAGGGTGTTATAAGAAATGGTTTGTTTTTAATCTTTTAGAGTCAGCTCTTCAAATTATTAGATTTATGTCATTCTTAATTTTTCTTATATATAAGTAATAATAATATAAGCATGTATTATGGAGAAGTAATACATTGTTTAAAAATATTTTTATTTCATATTTCTCTATTCACTTTTTCTTAGGAAAGGTTTTCATCTCAAATTAGGCTAATTGTGAGACTATAATAAAAAGTGTTTTTCTACTAAAGTTTTGTGGGCATAAAATTGTTTGTTTTCTTCTGCACAATGTTTTCTAGAAAAATAGTAGTGAATCAGGTCACTATATTTAGATTGCTAATGTCCTTCATTTATATATATTAGTATTATCTTATCTCATTGAATGTTTTTATCAAGTCTCTGTCTGGCGGAATTTAGGGGTTGGTTAACTGTGGACAGGATACCAAGAAAAATTCTGGTAGAAGTGATTCTGTTAGTTAGAGAGAACATCTGGAATATGGCCAGGATAGTAGTTGATCAACTGTTCCGGGATCTCAAGTATAAGGTAGATTTAAGAAAACTGTATTATTTGAATTTAAAGTAAAATTAGAACATAACCATCTTTAAAAATAGTTAACTCTAGATATTTGTTTCTTATAATAATAATACGAGCACATCTAACATTAATTAAATATTTATTGTTTGCCAGGCACTATACTAAGAATGTTAAATGAGATTTTTTTTTAACATTCAGAGAATCTCCATTAAGATTGATGCTAAATTTTTTTTTTTCATATTACAATGAGGAAATTGAAGATTTCAGAGTTTAAGTGGAACCTGTGTACTGTCACACAGTTTTACAAGTAGAAGTAGACAGTGTCAGTCAAGGTCACCAGACAAACAGAAAAGGCCCAACAGAACATATGTAGGACACAGATATAGATTTGGATGTGAATATGGATATGAATATAGATATACAGATATCAATTTATTTCAAAGAATTGGCTCACATGCTTATGGGACCTGGCAAATCTGAAATCTGTAGGCTGGGCTGGCAGTCTGGAAGCGCAGACAGGATTTCTGTCTTGAGGCAGAATTCCTTCTCCAGGAAACCTAGGTCTTTTGTCTTAAGACCTTCAACTGATCAGATGAGGCCCACCCACATTACTGGGCATAATATCCTTTACTTAAAGTCAACTGATTATACATGTTATCTCACCTACAAAATACCTTCACAGCAACATCTAGAATAGTATTTGATGAAACAGCTGAGCACCAAAGCCTGGCCTGCCCTCAAATAATGAAATTATAGTTTAGTAGAAGGGGCTGATATTAAACAAATAATTATAGAAATAAAACATTAATAACAAACTTCAGCAAATGTCAGGAAAGAAAAATATAGGGTCCTTTGAAAGAAAGACTGTAACAGAAGATCTTTATTTTAGATTAGAGATTCAGGGAAGACTTTTTCAAAGAAGGTCAGTTTAGGCCAAATTTTGAGGGATGAGAAGGAAATCATCAGCAAAGGTTGGAATACAGAACATTAGGAGAGAAACATTACAAATACTCAAAGCATAGAAATAATAAAATGAACAGAAAAGGGAGTTTTATGTCTACAGCTCAGTGAGCGGTGGGGTTGGTGTCTTGAGATGAGGCTGGAGAGAAACATATGAGCCTGATGATTTAAAGTCCTGTAGATCACAAGGATTTGTGACTTTATCCTAACTGGCATGAAAAGCAGTGAAGGGTTTTGAGCAGAAGGGTAACATGATCTGATTTATGTTTAAAAAGATTAGTCTGAAAAAAAAAAAGAAAAAGAAAGATTAGTCTGGCTGCTTTATGAAGACATATACTAGAAGAAATAGGAAAGTATGGTCACCCTGTTACAGCTGAGGTCACATGTCACCCTTTCTATAGTTTCCTGGGTTCTCTGTCTTTTGTAAACCTGATTCCTCATAGTTTGTGCTAATTATCTGTATTGTAACTATCTATGGTATATCACTTAATGTTTTATAGCAACATAGATGTGCCTGTCTATTCCAATAGCCTTGTGGTTTCCTCAGTGGAGAGGTTGAATAGCACTTATAGATATATTCTTGTTATTAAATATATGTTAAATCTGAAGGAATTTCATCTGTATAATGTTCTACTTCCTGTTTTACAAAAAAAATGTTTAATTTTAACATACAATTCCTTTTAACTTTATCTTTTGACTCAATTATGCTGCTCGCTGGCTCTAACATATTTTAACTTTTGAATTAATATAATGTTATTGATCTTGATTTCTTCTCTGTGGAAAAACTAGAATTTGAGAGCTTTTTTAAAATATACAATACAAGTTGTATTGCCCAGTATATTGGTAACACACTAAGTATAAGAAACAATCTATTAATATTAATTGTGATCTTGTTAACACTGTGAAATCTAAGATGGCCAAAAAATTAACCTGCTTAGATATAAAAAATATTCATATCGTAGCTCATTCTCATTTAATGGCTATGAAACTTCATAGAATAGCATGCCATAGCTTCTAAAAAGTTATATAAATAAATATAACACGTTCAAATGAGAGGATGGACATAGTTATTGGATTTCAATCTGATAGTCTACACTTCCAAAACAAGACTTCATCTGTAGCAAGAGTTCTCTCACTCTATCAAGAATTTAAAGTCAAAGTAATGAAATAACTCAAACTAAGCATTATAAGCATAAAGTATTAACTTAAAATAACATAAATTAAACACTAAAACATAGAGCAAGGAGTGAGCAGCTAGTATTTGAAGTGAAAATCACATGCTTTTGAAACAAAGTCTCGATTTGGAATATTCTGAAACAGTGGTATTAACTTTCACTTCCCGGCTCCATTTCTCTGTCCTTTGTCTTAAAACGTTCACTGATGCCATCTATAATGGGTATGAACTACAACCACTGCACTCAGATTTTATTTAAACCCGAATTAATTTGCCCTGAGTCCCCTCCATGGGAGTTGGAAAACTCAGTCTTGTTTATTAATAGGGCCCCACACACTCAAGGATTATGCTGAGATTCTGGTAATCTTATTAATGTAAAGCTCTGGATTTTCATTTTACTCTGAGCTCTAGAGATACATTGAATTTATTCTTGAAAGTAGGTCTGTTTCTGGAAAAAATTAGACTTTAGTTTCTGGATTAATGCAAGGAGCTGTGGTGCCTGGGGAACAGCTCCACATGTTCCTGCCCTTTCATTGGAAGTAAATGCACCATCTCACTTTCAGGACCCTCTTCTTACATCATCTTCTTAATCTTGAAATAAACTACGCAAACCCTGGATACCTCAGTCTCTTCTCCCCTCAAGACTCATTGTCCAGCATGTCTTCTGGGATAGTGCAGTTGCCTTTTAAAAGGAGTATCTCATATCTGCTAAGAAGGTAAAAATAGCTTCAGATTTCTAGATTCAAAACCCTGCTTATTTTGGAGAAGTTGGCATAGAGTGTAGTGGGGATTTTGCTTAATTTTCTGATCCCTTTTATTCCCTGGCTGGGACTTTTTGGAACCATCTGTCTGAGCTATAGGTTCTGTAACCATGGAACAAATTTTCATTTTCCTTGGGTACTTGAATCTTTAACATTGAACTCATTGTGTTCTAATTAATTTAGGTCACTGATTGCAACCACTTTAACAGAAAACATACATCTAAAACTATGTAACATCATTGTGACTTGATGATTAAATGGTTAGTAAAGAGTCAAGAATGTGCCCAGGTTGCTGTTGTCACTCACCGGTGCCATTCTTAGAGCTCAGAAACACTGAAAGAAGTGGTGTAGACGGGAAGATGATTATTGAGTTTGTCTTGCCCGAATCATATTTTAATGGAAAAGTCTACCATGAAGAAGAAAATAGAGCTCGATATGACAGCAGGTCACTGTTCATGCATGTGATGAACTTCTCAGACATGGCCAAATATATATTTCCAATCCCCAACAAATCTCATCTCTCTTATTCCTTGATTTACTTCTTTCTTTCGTCTCCCACTCCCCATACAACACATGTACACACATTGTCCCTCAACAGGTCGTGTCAGCAATACATCTATATTTTTTCTTCTTCCAACCACCAAGAATTGTTAGAATATGGATTCTTGTAGGGTAGTGGGATTTTTATTTTGAGTTAATTTTACTGTATTTTGAATTATTTTCCCAACTTCTCTGAATGTATCACATGATGTTTTCTCTGATACAGCAAAACATTTGAATATGCAAGATATGACAAGGTCTGTACTCCATTTCCTTCCAAATAAAAGGAAGGAGCCTAATTGTAAACTTTTAAAATATGTAAGAAACTGCTTATATTCTGTCAACAACCAAAAAGAGAAAGAGCTGTATCTGTGACTCTTAAGCTGTATCTGTAAATAGGTTAAAAAGTACATTATCTTTAATTCATCACTTCTAGGGTTGTTTATTGCTGGATAGTTTCATCCAGGCAAAGGAGTGAACATATTAAGTTACAAATAAGAAAGTGATTGAAGTCATAGAATGCTAAGTGATAATCTAAAATAGTTAAGGAAGCAAAGTAAAGAAAGCAGGGGATTGATACACAGAAAATAATGAAGTCAAGAAAATAAGAGTCAGTGAACTGAAGCTATGGGAATCTCTCAGATGTTTGATTTTAAGATTTCAGAAATACATCAGAACAGGTTAACAAATCCAGAATGTGGTCATAAAAATACAATAATTAAGTGGAATCAGGTTGAAAAT